CATACAAAAGGAGGGACGAAGGGAAAAGTTCCGCGAAATTTTTATCTAAACTCCTAATTTAAACTCCAATAAAATGTTATATATTTTTTATACTTTCTTAAAATACAGCTTTAAATATTTTTTTTAGTGATTATTTATAGTAAAAATGTTAAAGCGTGTAAAATTGCTTTAATAAATTATATCCTGTTTTGTTATTATAGCTTGTATTTTGCGTAAAACTTTATTCTTCAATTAATTGTAAACTTCTATTATTTTTAAAAACGTTGAAAAACGAAAAATTGTTTTTTTTTTTAATATTATAATATTCAGCAAGAAGTGATAGTATTTATTCCCGTTATTAAAATGATAACGATTGCAAATTGATTGAAAAATCTGTGAAAAATAGTGAAATAATACATTAATAATCGTTAATTATTAAACTATCTGTATCTGTACAACTCTAATTATATCTATCAAAAGAATTTTTAGGGTAATGTATGCCTTAAATCAATTAATATATGTAATCGTGTTACACATATATCAATTCTACATATATGTCGTGCAACTTACAATTAATTATTTATGTATGCTAATATGCGGTATGTACCACTTTTCTCTTCGCACATTCTTTAATTTTATTGCTTACGTTCCATCTGCTTAATACGCACTGATAACAGACTTTATAGCGCTACAAATTATATTACGAGACATTATCGCGCCAAGTTATTACGATCACGTTCGCGTTGTATTTGATAAGACAAGAAAATTGCGGAACAAAATAGCAAACATAAGAAGATGTGCCTCAAATAATTGACAATATTTAATCCCGACTTAGAATTTTAAAACGACTTTGTAATAGGATCGTCGGAACTGCCATGTATACCACGTTTCTTAGTAGCAAAGTCCTTAAACATTTCATAGATAAGAAACATATTATTGAAATATTGAGTGTGTGTAATATCCGCTGAATAACGCGTTACGCTTTATTTTTACAGATAGAATCGTTTACCATAACCATGATGAAGAAACTAATCTTCTTTTCTAGCTCTTCCGCGTTTATATGAACTTTATTGAAACACGTTTTCGAGATTGCTCAGTACAGGTATGTACGTATATTCCGCACACCTTATTGCCGCAAGCGACATTTTACGCTCACCGCGTGCCGTTTTAGAAACAAAACATAAATTTAGTATAAAGTTCGATCAAGTTGGGTATTTAACACACTCGCCTCATGAGCGATAATAATCACTCATACCATACTTTCGTTCGCTTATGTCGCATACCTACATACGATTATTCGCGGATGGCTCCAGGACAGCTCTTACGCGAGATAGCGACTTTCACCGCGTTTGAGATAACAATTTGTTCCCGAGACGATTAGAGCAAAGTTTTCCGAATAATGTTCTCGAAGACGTATCATAAAATTGAAGCTACGCAATAACTTTTTATTATAAATAAAAATATGTTGAAGTATGTTAACTCTTCACGGTATTGTATTAAGATAGGGACTTGACAGTACTTTGATAACGGCAAATCCTGCGTATAATATTCCTTCTAAAGTTCGAAATAAGAATGTAAAAAGATATTAAAAATAGAAAAGTTATTTTATCCCGATTAGTTAAGGATATGAAGATTTGTATGCACACAGCAGAGGTCAGCTTTAAATCACCAATAACCGTCGATAATAATTATATAGCACACTCTTAATAATAAGAATAAATAAAAAACAATAAAAAAGTGAAGACTATCATGACACGATTCGATTTAAAATTCGATTAAAAAAAAAGCAATAAAGAAAGAAAGAAAAAGATGAGTAGTGTGTTGCAGCTGTTATAGTGTTTGATTTTCGAAAGTAACGGGATTAGCACAATTTACTTTGTAGCTCAATAATTTCATGGGTACTAATCGAGGGCTTGCACAACGACGAAGCGGACCAATGAGGCGTATGTGTGCTCGAGAAAAATTCGCAGTGGTACGCGAGATCGATCCGCGTCCTGCGATATTAAACGCAGCTCTCATAGTGGCGTAATCGCTCGCCAAACGGCATAAGATTATGCGGCGAAGAGGAACGATTTCCGAGCAGTTTTATTTTTCATTTTCTTCTTCCTTCTTTCTCCTCCCGCTTAACCTTTCGCGGATCTGCGGCGATATCGAGTCTTCGCGGTCGATAGTTTCGCGTGTGTATCTCAACATTCTATCTGCACTTCGATGCTTATTAAAGCGCCATGGTTTGTGATTTGCGTACATTAAGCGCGTGTGCAATAATGCACGCGCGCCTGCAAATTGTTTTTGTACTGGGAGAGAGAGAGAGGAGCTCTCGGTAGCGCGAGCATGCCCAGTTGAGAGACAGTTTTCCTATAATCTTCCCGTTTTAGCGAGATTAAAGTGTCGATCGAAAGTGTCGCGGAGTTATTTCCATCGCTTTTACTAGACAAATTTTGAAATTGATACAAAATCTCAATTTAAAGTACTAATATATTTTAAAGACATAACGAGACAATTTTTACGCTTTAGTTTTCTGATAAGTAAAAAAAAAAAAAAAAAAAGAAGAATGCGCGGAGTTATTTCCATCGCTTTTACTAGACAAATTTTGAAATTGATACAAAATCTCAATTTAAAGTACTAATATATTTTAAAGACATAACGAGACAATTTTTACCCGTTTAGTTTTTTGAAAAAAAAAAAAAAAAAAAAAAAAGAAGAATGCTATGTCTTATCTCATGCGACAACTTACGAAGAAATCCAATTTAGTATAATTTTTCAAATTTAATTTCGTTGTTCTTGATACAATTTGACTTTCTTTCAATACAACTTATTTCTATAATATATATAACTTATTTTTAAAAGTTTATATTTTTCTGCTTTATCAATTGCAATTTATATTAGTTTATTTTAAAACGCGTTACTTGTCTCGTATGTAAAGGATTAATATTATCAAAATTTTTTTGTCCTCTGGGACTCCTCTCGGCATCCGCGTTGCAGATTGAAAATCTGGATGAAGCAAGCCGTCCTTGCATTTCGCAGTGCGAAATGAATAAATTAAATTCAAAGGGCGACAAAGTACGTAATTATGCGCACGTCGCGCAATTGAACGCGCTATTTAAGCGTGCATAAATCGCGCCTCAGATCCCATCTTCTGTATGTACGCGGATTCAGAATAATCGAGGGCGCAATAATTAACGATTTTTTGCTTAACGAAGCTTTCATTACGCGCTCCGAACATTTATCGCTCATCGTAACGATCGACGAGACATTAAATTCGCAATTTTATTTGACAGCACGACACTATAGTCGTACATTTTGACGAGATAAATGTTAAATTACGTGTATCCTTGCCGCAATCAAAAATATCGATTGCTCATTGAAATTTTTCGTCTAAAAATAACAGTGAGATCGACTTTCTGAATTTGAGATCATCATTATTTGTAATGTTCTTCGATACAATCAAATGTGTTATTTATTAGAATAACAAAGTTATAAATTTCAACAATTATGCAAAGTTGCAGCTGTTTTAAATTTAAAGAAAAGTTAATGACTTTATTTATTTATCTTCTAAAAAAAAATCTATTTGAAAATCAGGATTAAATATATTACTTTATAAATTGAATTACATGACTTAATTGAAATATTTCAATCTGTTTAAAGAGCAGTGGACACGCTAGTAGTTGTTGAAGTTGGTATAAATTAAGTAGAGGAAGAAGAGAGAGGAGCATTCGGAGATATCGGGCATCTCAGTGCCTTTCTCATGCTCCACGAGGATAATCACCTGCTCGTCTAAGATGCACTTGAAAACGTGCTTATACGTTAAAGCGTGTAACCATCTATTTCTCGCGTGCAAAGGTCTTCGTCTTATCTGCCTAGCTTCATCTTGTCAGACTGTCTCCTTACTAGGCACGATGACAATTTACCGTTTCCGTAAAAACTTGACGCGAGTTATGCGTACTTAACTTAACCCATTTTACTAAATCTAACTAACTTTTACATAATATTATCCGTAAATACACAGACCGTTCTTTCAACATAATTATACGGGCAGATAATCGAGAATATCCGTGATATAAAAATGAAAAATGTATTAGCGGCGTGTAATATAATTCTCTAATTAAGGATAAAATAAATGTAGTATATAAGATGTAGATCGTTGTAAAGTTATCTTTTTTTTTTTCAACTGTTCAATTTCCAATCTTCTTGAAATTCAGCATACTATATTTCTCTTTATTATACATGTCATTAAGGATCATCCTGTGTTACGCAATATCGAAAAACAAAAAAATTCATTACTGTTTTTCTCTTTTCTACCTTAAGTCTTGTACCGCGAAACGTAATATGGTAGACGACACAAAGACAAAGAGTTGTTTACTCAAGATTTAAAATGTGCTGAAAGAATTCCAAAGTACCTACATCATTAATAGAAGAGTTAATATGGAACACGTCAAATCGATGTGTTACACCGGGATGCCGTTGTATTTACTTTTCCCACGTGAAATTCATCACGAGCCATCCACGCATGCATCTTCGTTAGAAATTCTCATCTCGTGCGGTAAGCAACGTCAAGAGTATTGTCCACCGCGTAGATGAGACGAGCATGAATTTCCGAAACCCATCGAAGGTAAACGCTTTCGAAAAACTTGGAGTTCAACTCCAAGTTACGGAGTGAAAAACGAATGAGATTTTATCCTCTTTATATTTTGTTGCATTATAAAATTTATTTATCTTTGAAGCTTTGAAGGATTTAATAGTTTATCGCATGTATCTTCTGCGTGGAAATTAATTCATAAAAACGAATAATAATGTTTCATCTAACAACTAGCTACTCAAATAAATAGAAAATAGATAGGAAACGAGAAAATGTCTTGTAAATACGTATCTTGCTTCGTTTAAATACGTCAAGGATTATATCTCTCCTCGATTACTCGTGTCTTAATTACATGACTATTGCGTTATTATCGCAATCAAACGAAAGATATAAATAACTATGTAATAGCATAAATATCGAGATACAACAGGAAGCATCGACTCACCCATTTATCTCTTAGCATTTTCTCTCCGTGCGTCCTTTCGCCACCAGCTGCGATCACCATCGCGCCATCGCCGTCATCTTAGGTCCGCGGGTACAAGCGGAGGGGAGGAATCATCGTGGATCTTTAAGGCAAAACGAGGAAACGAGACGTGAATTCGTTGTCGCCGTTCGCGACGGCGGGCCTAATTAACGGCATGATTTACGCGGCGTTACGTTTTTCGGGCCGGACGACGATATAACCCTTTCCCATGATCCCGCTCGCGCGATGTGTTCAATAAAACACGGCTCTTAATTGCGGCCGACAATTAACTCGGATGAGCAAGCGCGCGACGAGAGAGCTAAGAGGATACGGCGCGCCTCGGATCACGTCACATTTGTCAGCGGCTCTAAACGCCGGATCCTAGTTTTAATGGGCGCCCACCTCGCTCGCGAGGGCACCCATTAACGTTTCCTATCCGTGGGACAAGAGCCAGTTACGCGGATGATACGCGTCATCTTCGGGGGATCACGACGAGAAGCGCTCGCTAAACTCCGAGATGTATATCGTAGAACGCAGGATTTCCTAGAATAATGGCGAGATAATTTCGTGAAGTGTCTACTATGACCTGATTCAATCATCCCGAGATTGGTGTGAGTCGACTTTTAAAATGCCGTTGTCCTTCCTGTAAAAAAAAGATATTCTCGTGTAAATTTTTTTTTTTATATATAAGACAGTTTATATTATTGCATGTAAATCATTTTTGGAAACATGAGTTTGAAAATATATTGATATATATTTATATATTTCTAATATATTAATATCTTGTTAAAAAAATTTCTGTCAGATTAATTGGAAATTTTATTTCCATGAAAAACAAGGAAGCATTCTGATGTGGTAAATTATATATTTATGTAGTAAGTATATATATTATATATAGAGTGTATATTTTTGCGCATAGAATTTGAAAAATATCGACTTCTGGAAAAATCAAGGGATAGCAAATCAGTTTCTTTTTTAAAAAAAATAGAATCTCTTTCCAGAATAAAAAATGATAAGAAGATATTTTCCATTTTCTATTTTTCTCTTTCTAATTGACTTTTCATCGAAAAATCATATGCTTTTCGACCGTACGAGTTTTAATGTACGATATATATAGCAACGCGTCCACCTACGTGGAACTAATAACTTTAACCGATATTCTACCGAGATAAGACATGGATGGATCATAAGTATCAATCATGGTACATGCGTAGTCGCATTTATCGGTACTGCGCTACATAATCATTGACCTCTGACGAGATTTATATTTTGCTGTCGATACAAGGTTGCCTAGTAGACAACTGTCGGCGCCAACTCTTGCATACTATCCTCCCGAGTGTATATAACACCTTTGTATAGCCGCATTAGAACCGGAATTGCTCTGAATTCATTATAACTGGCCGGTCAGATTGATTCGAATTGATTGGGAAGTAAGCTTAAAAATATATTAATTTAATTTTCTTAATATATTAATATCTTGATCTTTATTAATTGTCTTAATATATTAATTTTAGTATATTAATATTATAAAGGATTTCATCAAATT